AACCCGCTTCAATATTTTTACACTTTTTTTACAGCTAGTTGCAGCGGGTTATGAAGCTAGTGTAGCTAGCTGCAGCGGGCGCTACTAGCTTACTTTTTCATGCTTGGGCGTGCCCAAAACGGCTAATTTTTGTGCCCAGAAAAATCCCCGTCCGAACTCTCTATTCCAGATTGAGATCACATTTTATTTGTATAAGAAATGAGAGAATCTATGCATTCCAAATTGAGACTACTTTTAAATCTAATTAATAATCATAAAAAAAAGCAGTCTCAATCATGAAGCCTCGGTCTTACTCTATTTATCCGAGCATTATGAAACATGAAACTGAGAGAAACTGTATAACTGTTCTTTTCGTATATATAGTAAAGTGAATGAATGCTAAAAGAACGAAAGAAATGATTAACTTTTACATGATATCATTCTAGAAATATGCCACGAACGGCGAGAGACTATAATTAAAAAAATTATTTACGTAAATAATGAAATTATGTACAGCTGCATTAACTATAAATATTATTTAAAGATGATTTCCTTTAACGTATAAAAATCCTGTATCACCGTTTTTTGTAGCTATGACGACGACAAACTGATAAGCAAAACTCTTATTAACGATACTAAAAATATGTAGTTGAATACATAGGAAAGGAAAGGCTTTAACCCATTTTAACATTTAGTATGTCAAGCAAACCATTGTCTTTTTTCATTTTCACACGCAAAGCACTGATCATTCTGTGTTCAGCGTACGCGTAAAACATTTTGAGTACTTTACTTTGGAGACTCTTGTTTATATGCTTTTTCAGCAATACGATTACCGGGGAAATATGTACGATTTCGTAATACAAATGACTTACAACAGGAGAAAGTTGAAGAACTCAGTGATATGATTATGGTTAATTTGAATAGAAAACCAATCACAGAAACACCTCATATACCGGTTCACCATGAAAAAGAGATATCCTCTCCAACGAATAATGCGCCTCCAGAACCACTTTTCGAGATCATCGACACAAACGTGAAGATATCTGGTAAGCCGATCGATCAGTGGAATCTAGCCGAGGTTGACGTTTGGTTCAAAGTTCACAATGTTAATCCTCAACTAAGGGGTCTTTATTCGTTTCGCACAGGCAAAGAGTTGGTCATTTACTCCGAATGTTTGTTGAAAGAATGGCAGCAACAGTATGCCCGATACACAGAGAGATATGCAAGAAAATATGATGGAGCTGATTTACCTGAAGATCAATTTATTGTCCTAGTGAGCGCTCTAAGAGAGTTGCATGTCAGGCAGATGGAAGAGGCGAAGACAATACAAGGAAAAGCTGCTGTTTTAAAGCCTAAATCTACTACATGTGAAATTTTGTAATATTTTCTGCAAGTAGCTAAACGAATAAATGAGAAACCTTTTGTTTTGAAAGAATACTTTTGCATCGGGTGGTAGTAAACAAGTAGAACCATTCTGTCTGCTCACATCAGACGTTTTCGTGAAATTTCAGTATCGTGGCTTGAGAATACACGGTATTCTGCATCAATAGATCATTAACTTGATAACAACATACTGGATAAGTCTTATTGTTACAATATCAGTTAATAGCCGTCATTTATATTATACACAAAACTATGTGGTCACTTTCCAGTTCAAACCATCTTCTGAGCAGTACCAGACAAATTGACAACCTTCCCCTTATTTTACAGAAGAGTGCTGAAGATATTTGACCAAATAGGAATAAGACGAGCAGAATCGCGCTATACTCTTATGTAAGGCAAAGTTTTCGTAAGTTTAATAGGCACCTAGCTAATATTTTAGCATGTTGCTCATCTTCGCTAAAGTCTGAAGCCATAAGGATGAATTTTTGCTTTCTGTCGTCTAAGCAACGTTTCAGATTAAGCTCCCAAATTAGCTCGTTTAAAACATTATGTGGAAATTGACGAATTAGATTATTTACTGAATGATACTGATCAAATTATTATCGGATGCAGTACAAATAAGTTATCAAATAAATCAACAGATGCATCGATTATTGACTGTATGTGACCATTAGAAAATGTTCAAATGAAACACTCGTCAGTCACACCATTAAGATAACAATAATACCATTTCGACTGCATCCACAGAATGATAATGATTTTCCAAAAATATGTGGATATAATAATTATCGATTCGGTATTGCCAATAATGAAATATTGATCTTATTAAATTCAAGTGCCATTCAGATATGCTTATCAATAGACTCCATCCCAATCCACGTAGAGTTAAGAGTCATTGCACGAGTGGGACAGCCTTTTTGCGCACCAGTTTCTCAATCGATGTTCGAGTTTTCCGCTTAAATATTCATAGTACGTAGCTCTATCATAATTAGGAAGATTCCCACATTTTTTCCATTCGGACGTACTTCGCTAAAAAGTTATAGAGCTTTTCGTAAAGCCCGACCTAAAACGATACTTGTATAAAAGTGAAATTTGTGGTGGTTATAGCTTGGCCTAAGAAGTTGATTAAGAGCTCATGTCTGTATCATAAGCAGTCGAGGTCGAACACTACCTCTAATCAAGAGCATATGCAGAAACACATGCGCACAAGGTGGTAGAATTTTGCTAAGACAAACAGTTTTGCATAATTTTTTTAAACCTAAAAGCTTTGTTATTGCATTGAATGTTACTACTATCCATTGTACTAGTATACCTCTATGAATTATGACATTGATCCATACAAGTCTCATGGCCGATGCACCGCCGAGCTCGAAAGTCATATGAGACATCCCCCAGACTTACATGCCCTTTCTTTGCAAAGTTACAGCATTTACAAGAAAAGCCCTAAATTTATGTCTTCTTATTTCTGTAGGTTTCAGCTGACAATGGACATTTAGGGCTTCTCGTGTAAATTCTGTAACTTTGCAAAGAAAGGTCGTTTAGGGCTGGAAGAAGCCTCATTTTAATCAGAAATTTGCGGGTTACAATCATCGCTCATCACGAAAACTATTACTTATTGTTTAGAGTTTATAAAACCTAAGTCTCCAGAAACTGGGTCTCCAAGAGCTATTGGGAAAAAATCAGAAGTCGACAGATATAGCTGGATTTTAGGTAAAATTAAGTTTCCATAAAAGTTCGAGGAAAAACTGCTGTTACAGACACTTTTCAAAATTTTGTCCTGCGGGACTTCAAGACGATAGTACGCAAATGATTTAAAGAAATTTTCAAATAGGCAGAAAAATAGAGCAAGAGTAGCTCTACATTTTACTAAACAGTGGTTTTTCTAAGTCTTTATATCTCAACAAAAATCGTGTTTGAATATGCTATAGAATGTTGTTTTCACACAAAATGTCCTGCGAGATTTCAAAAATTGTTTTATCTATAACTCGATGAGTGACCTGTTTGAGTTCAAAATTTTATCCTTTTTTCCTTCTTGGATGATTAGTATGTGAAAAAAATACAAGCTTTCAGACACACTTCTTTCTTGAGAGAAGCGCATTTTTTTTGCAGAGGAAAGCGCATACTAAACTTGAAACAAACGTTCTTGTACTTTACTGGCTCAGCATCCGGTCGTACATCAAGATTTGAAGCCCTGATATTTTCAAAAAAAGTTCCAATGCTGACTAGTCCGGATGCCAGTCATCAAGCTTTTCTGCTCACTTAGCTACCCACAATGCACCAGAAATCATCACGGACGGGAAATATAAACCTAAAGTAAAACGGTATTTCAATGAAGTATGGTCTAATGATGTCGCATAGCCAACTGAAGCTAATACCGTCTTTCCAAATAAAAAATATGTCATAGTGTCGAACAGAAAGCAAAAATTCGTTTCTGGTACACGATAGAACTCGATAACGTCAAAAATATTGCGGTAGTCAATATAGCAGTATTCTGGCAAAATAAAGCATCGCAATGGGTGTGCATCACTAAAATAAATCGCGACACATTACTAAGCCATTGAAATTCTTTATTTATATCAATCCTGATCGGCCTTGCCAGCTAACTCTACCTGCGTATGTAATTCCGTGACGTTTTTGATGATTTTGTTTTATTTGTAGAAATTTTTGAAAAAGTCAGACCTCAAAAGTAAATAAACCATTTTTTTGTAGACAATTTAATTCTCTATCGACTGACCTGATTTTGAAACGTTTTAGCGAAAATCTCTTGGTTAGGAAATTCAAAACACTGAGAGCTACTTTTTGCATATCTTTTTTATAAATTTAGTAAAACGGCTCTCATTGTTTTGAATTTCCTAATCAAAAGATTTTGGCTAAAACGTTTCAAAATCAGGTCAGTTGATAGAGA